AACATGCTATGATTAGTTCTCCATTACAGCTCTTCCAATGTAGCATAATGCAGAGCAGTTACCAGGCTGACAACATGTTGTTCTCTGAAGTATCTCCCTGAAAGCAGACCGATTCCTTTGACATGAAGGGTAGCACACTGGCCAACTTTACCGTACTCTGCACCAGTCTGTTCTCTTAGACTCGGGGTCAGAGAGGTACGCAAATAGGGGGTTTGTATTTATTAAAAAGTGCCTGCAAGATCTAGAACTACCCATACCTGCTGTTGCACAAGTTCACCTGCACCTCCTCTCTTACATGGGTCTACATGTTGTGCGCAGTGAATGGACAGTTTGAGCAAAAGTACAAAACCCCAGGCAAGCTCCAGAGAATAGAAAAGATCACTGCTTGGCCTTAGGAGAGGCCCTACAAGTATGTCTGTATGTCTGCATAGTCATCTGGTCCCAGTGTCCCAGTCTGAGATGGATCCCTCCACAGATGCCTTTTGCTTCAATGCCATCTATTTGGTCACCTTGTCAGGCTTGCGTGAGATCCTGCCTTGGAAATGGGCTCCCCTGGAATGGTGGAAACTATTAAGACTGCAGTAACAGTTTAGGTGGTTGTTTTGATGGCGACAACATGGAAAACCCTCTTGGGAGGGTGAAGGCAAGCAGTTGTAACCTACTGGATCAATGCTACTAGTAGTTTTTCCTGGGAATGCACAAAGGGTTGACATCCAAAAGATACGAAGCATCATTTTGAAACTGCTCCCTGGTGGTTTTGGTTGTATTCACTGTGACTTGCAGTAGCCTTGGCTACCATATTTTTGTTATTATAAATAAATGACCATCAGCTTTAATATTTGTCATGGCAATAACAATGATGCTATCCTGTGTGTCCAGTCATGCCACAATATTCTCTTCTTAATACCAGCCAAGACAGCTTCCTCATAAACACGCAGCACAGTGTAACAGTTGAGAATGTATTGCTATGATTAGTCTGCTCAAAAGAATTATTAAAAAGATAATTTGCTTTGGAACCTAAAATTGAAGAAACTTTTAAAGTTAACTGTAACTATAAACTAGTTTCTCACTTTCCATTTTAGTCTTATGAATACTGAAGTATGAAATCACCTCACAGCCAAACCATTGAATAAACTCAAAAAAAAAAAAAAAAAAAAAAAAGTCTCTCAGGAAAAAGGCAAACTTCAGAACCTCCTGTTAAGAAGTATCTTTTATTTGTCAACTTGGTTTTCATAAGAATGATACATGCCAGAAAACAACTGTAGTAATATTCTCAAATAAGGACATTCATTGGATTGTATTTAGGAAATATATTTCTTTCATCTTAATATCTCTTCACTACTTTGTCCAGATCATTCTTGTCCATCACATCTCACACTTCAGGAAAAATAAATAAATATATCCAGGTCATGCAGAAATCAAATACTATGCCTGTCATTTCTTTTACAGAATATTTAAACTCCTGCTTTTAAGTCTTCCATAACATCACTTAAACGAGACCTCTCTTAAAGCATATAGAGTAGATGGAGTGGTAGTGGGTCGCTGAAGCAAGAAATCGGCACTGACTACTTTCATGTAGTAGTCAGCCTCCAAAATCACACCGTGTGACAACTGGTAATTCTCACTCAAATGAAGACATGAAAAGTTTTCTAATATGTTTATTAATTAGTCTGTTTCAGTTATGGCTTCATTATTTTTTATTTCTGATACAATGAAAATGTTCCTGTAGCACACAGACACAACAGAGCACAAATAAAACTGTTAATACAGGGCTGAAACTCCTATCCAGGACTGAACAAGAGTTCTGGTCCTTTAGCCTTCTTAAATTCTAGGCATTTACCTTTTTCACTGACACACATATGACTGCTCAGAAGTACATTCTCATGGTAGCTGAATACTAAAAACCTTTTGTTTAGAGAAAATGACTGAAGAGATTAACATTCCAAAATAAATTTTATTCCCTCTACTGCAGGAAGCATCACCAGATGTATCTTAATCATGTGTTACAGTAGATTTTTTAAAGTGAAAATATAATGCTTATGAGGACAAATTATCAATGCAATTAGTATGTAAAATTAATTATCCTTTGATTAGCCTACAAATTATCTAATTTTTTTCCATCATATCTTCAAGATTTTTCTGCACTTCATACATCACAAGACACACCAAAACAATATTACAATATAGAAAAGGTGTATTTTCAACTTTACAGTGCCATAAGGAAGCTGCTGAGTATTGACTTTGGAGTCCTAAAAAGATAATGTGGTAGCAAGTAGTTTTTCAATATGCAAGTTGAAACCTTGGTCTCATCAATCTGAGTTGTGATGACAACTGAGCAAAGGTTTCACCACATGGTAGAATAAAAAAAAAGTAATAAAAATTGTATATCTGACAAAAGGAACCACTCTCTTCCCAAACCTTCTATTTCTGTGAGATGCATGGTACCTGCTTACTTGCATGGAAAATAACAGAATTAAAGCCACACCTTAGGATCCAGGATTTTGGGGTAATGCAAACTGTTTATTTATGCCGTAAGATATAGACTTTACAAACTTGATCAGTGCTATGGGCTACAAACCTAACACACTGACGATTAAATACCACAATAGTAGGTCAATGCTTTGGTATAATAAGCTATCATAAGTTAAGTATCAAAAGTGCAACTCTGGAAGACGACCAGGGAAGCCAAGTGCAATATAGCACAGCCAGTAGAAAATAGCTGTACAACAGAGGTATAAAACTTCTGGAAACAGGTTGAGTACTGATACCGTAAGAGGGATGAAAAACAGAGTATACATTTTACTAAGATTTCACCTGCATGAAGCTGCAAGAGACAAAACAAACCTCAAGAAATTGATACAGCTTAGGTAAATCCAACAGCAGGACACAGAGAGGTGGAATGAGAAAGAAAAATAACTTTGTTTAAATATTCAGGAAAAAGAAACATTCCTAAATAGGAAATAAGTTAACTCCTACATAAGAACATGACACCTAACAGAGTCCAATACAGAAAATCCATGCTCTTTTGACATAATACTACACTGTGATTTCAGAAGGAATGAAGAGTCCACAGGAAACCAAGGTCTGCTATGATTATGAACACTGCATTTTGGATGTGTACAAATCTTAATTAATCTAAAGAGAGAGGTAGCAGAAAAGCTGATGATCCTGTCTGGAGACATGAGACCACATCAAAGTCAGGGCTGTTTACATTACTTTAGGAAGAGCTATTAAGTGATGTGGGGGGACAATTCATACAGAATCACTTCAGGATCAGCAAGTGACTCTGGGATATTCTTCAACAAGACTTGCCAGTTCTTGATACTTCTAATAAAGACAGGTGCTGGTTCAAATGGCAACTGTGCATAACAGAAATTTGGCAGGCAGCTGATATACACATTTGATGGCAAATAATATATTGCAGCACAGTATCTGGAAGCAGTTGCTCTGAAGTCTCTGTTGACTCACAGAACAGTAGCAGAATTAATGAAGTTTTGGGATGTCCAAAGATACTTACGAACCCGGTAACTATATTTAATTGCATCAGATGAAAGCGTTGTGTGTCACTCTAAAGATCAAAACCTAGAATTTAAGAAGTTCAAACAAATAGGCTGGTGGGTTTTTTTAATCAGACACTGAAGAATGTAATAAACTATTTCATAAAAGTAGATCAAAGATATTGGATCAGTTGTTGCCATACTATTTTTGGGACTGACTATTGATGATAGCCAATCAAGAACACAGCCATCATAAAGTGATTTACTCAATTTAACTGTCTAAGTTTTTGAGAATTTAAGAGCCAAAAAAAGGATGCAATGTATTTTTGTGTTAATGAGACACTTCTGGGTAAGACTTCCTGTTAAAAAAGGACTGCAATTTTGAAAAAAATAATATATTTTATAAAACCAGGTCAGAGAATAAATGGATGAAGAGTTAAAACAGGGGAAAATGAAAACATGGCAAAACCAGAGAAAGCAAATACTAATAGCAAAAAAAAAAAAAAAAAGAAGAATTACCTATTTTTTTTATATGTCTACATGCACATAGCTGTGTTTGATTTTTTTTTTCTGCGTGGTAGTGAAGTTTGGCACCCACCTTGACCACATCAGAGAAGACTGGCAAGTCCCGAAGACAGCATTTTGTGAGGAAACAGTTTTCTCCAGTGTCTCCAACTCAGAAGAATGTGGGTTACCTTTGGCAGCTGCCACATTCCAATGGATGATGGGCTGCGTCCCTCAGCTTTATGGGGAAGAAGTGGGAGGTGGTCATACATATGTCACTGAAGTGACTGAAGAAACATATAGCTGAGTGAGAAAATGAGCTCGGTCATCTCGTGAAGGTCTAGAAGGTGCACTGTATTTGCACAGGAAGTGGTTATATCTCCTGCAGGCACATGTTAACTGAGTATCTATCTGTCTACCAGATGGATCACTTAAAGCTTATGGTCTGTTGATAAGAGAACAATTCTGAGTTAGAGAGTATGTCCTATTATGGTGGCTCAATATGATGAAAACTACCAATAATCTCCTGTAATGATGATTCATTTTACACCTTTATTTTTTCCAGGGGAACAGCACACTGGAAATTCAAACTTAAAATATTAAAATTTAAAATTATTCTTTAGGCATGACAAGGATGACTTTCCCACTAAATCCATCTACTAGCTAAGTTGGTAATGGCAAAAGCTTCTACAAGCTTAAGAGAATCCACAAAGTGAGTAAAAGCTTACTGGGCATCTTCTCTATCTTTGAGGGAAGTATATAGTGTGCAGTTAGGAAGTGGCAGGGTAAAAGAATGTGGATCTAACAAGTAATGACTTGACAACATTGGGATACCAAACTGGGATCAAGTAGTCAGAGAGTAGAAGAGCCGATGAACTCCTTTTTTTTTCCTTCAGAGAGGCAAGTTGGCACTGTTACTCAGTAAAAAACTAAGACCAGTAAAGTCATATGTTACAAGTAATTACAGAGTCTCCAAAACCATCTTTAAGCTGTCTGTTTACAATAATTTCTGAATTTTTCTATTAATCTCTGCAACATAATATTTCACGTACAGTATAAAAACAAATCAACCCCATATCAGGTATGCAATTCTGTCATTTCAATTTTATATTTCAGTGGCTGAAGACTACGTACCTCTGAGCCACATTTAGGACACGTAAAATACATATCAAATAAATAGTTACTTTTAATACAGTAGTAACAAAAGATATGCGAACAGCCTATGGTATGAGGCATGGTAGGCCATTCCCCGCATATTGAACATTCCTTGCAGTGAGCTGTTAATGTGTTTTCACTATTGGAAAGACCTGCAATAGGCAAACACCAAGAAGAAATTTTAAGTTTTAGTTTCTGTATGTTAATAAGTGGTAGCAGATAGATCAGAAATTCAGCAAACCCATGCCATAAGAGCTCCCTGTTCATGTATTCAAATCCTACCTGACGAACACTTTGTGGCTTACAAAAGACTGACCTAATTCCTAGAATGCGTTCTGTAAGTGTTGCAAATGTTCCTTTCTGAAGAAAAATCAGAAAATTTAGAAGTCCACAAAATTTAAGAAGTCCAGCTCCAAAGTTAATATAACTCTTTATTTTGCAGAAAGATTGCAGTTGATGATTGCTAAATAAATCGTAACATCTTTCTTCCAACCATCTTCCACCAACAGTGAAAATAAGATACCATAACTTCTGGTGTTTGCTTAGAGGTTGGTATTTCTCTGTCTGAGATAAGTTATTCTTGTATTGAATATTCAGAATAGCCTGTCCCACAGTTGCATTCTTGGAATAGACAGTGAATCTCCATAATATAAGCCATAAAAATGCTTTTACTTCTGGTTCAAAATGAGCCAACACCCCTGGTTTAAATCCATGAAAACAGCTGGTAAACTGGGACCACACTAGCTGTTCCAGAGCTTTGTTTAGTTCAAGAGCATCAAGTTGACTTATTCTGAGCACAGGATTCACACTGTTTTCATTTCCAATGCTGGAGGCCATTTCTTCACAAAAATACTTTCTAGGAATAAACACAAAACAGATTTTAGTGTAACGGAGCATTTCCTAATTTTATTCTTACTAAAGTTAAAAAAGTTGTAATATACCAGCAGTCAACAAGAAATAACAAAAAAAGCTTCTTCAGAATGTTATATTAATATGCTATTAATATGATGCAAGTCCTTTCAGGAAGCTTTAAATTAACAGTGTAAAATTTCATCTCAAGAAAAGTTATATTGGACTATTTCTCCCAAACAATGTAATTTGTATTTGGTTACAGAGAAGTGTTTAAGACCTTCCAGATCTTTAGAAAACTCCACACATTTAATATTTCACTGTATAAATAAATAAAAAAAAAATGCTGGGCATAACTAATATTCAATTGGACCTTAAAATAGAAGATCAAAAACAAGAATTGTAGAACTATATGGTGTTTTATGAAGAAATTGGGAAATGAACATACTAACTAAAGTCCAGAAGAGAACAATGGGGTGGATAGAAAATACTGCCATACAAATACTTCAGTAGCTGCAGCTGAAAGTAAATCCTTAGAAATACCAATAAATTTAAGGATTATATACAGAAAGATATGGATAAAAATTAAGGTGGGAATGCTAAAACTTGTTAAATAAAGGCAGTGATTTGTTTAGAGAAGAATCATTATGTGAGATTAAAGAAATATTCAGCATTTAGACAAAAATTATCATACAGTACATCACTGAAGCCTGCATGTATTTTCTAGAGTCTTTTGACAGATGTGCAATTGTTCTATTTGTCATATAACAAATTTCCTGGCAAGATGATTAATGTATACTAGCAACTTCAACAAATGTATACTCTTCTTGTTCAAGCATTACAAAGAAAAATACAAATATCTTTAAAAATTGTTTGGTTTATATGTTATTGTATATGGAATTCTGTGACTAAGAAAATAAATGTAATAAATTTCAAGAGCTAAATATAGATAACACCTCAGTAATGCAAAATTGTGGGGTAACTGATTTTTGGTTCCTTTCATCCACATAAAAACCACAAAGTGACTTAGAAGTGGTGTATTTCAGGTAGTATGCAATATAATTAACTTTCTAAACCAGACTCTTTGCATAACAGACAAGCAAGGGTCGACAGCCTTCTGGAAAAAGTGCAGAAGGTGGTACTTCAAATCCTTATTTATAAGAGGAAATCCTGCTGTAACACAAGACTGCTTTGAATTAAAAAAAAAAGTGGTACAGGATATATATAGGAATGGTTGCTAATGATGCTAAGAATACTAAAAAAAAATAATCCTCCAAACCAATAACCGTTGGCGGAAACAGAGTGGATCAAAAGTTTAAAAACCCAGTATAAAACATTATTTGTAGCATTCCTACTGTTTTCTATACCTATAATTGGTCATATCTGTAAGGAAAGTATCATGCAAAGCTAACAGAAATATGACTTTGTTCTTAATGTATGCTGTACAACAGTAGTTTCCAATTAACTAAGACTAGCTACATGGGCAGGGCATACAACAGCTCCACTCAGTTTCTTGAAACTCCTTCTTCCTCATTAGCAAACAAAATATGGCTGAAGGCAGTATATGGCCACCTCCTCTGGGCAAACAGCTATTGGGTTAGTTGTACCAACCCGCACCAGCCTGACAAGTCAGTATACAAGGCTACAAAAAGGCAGTATACCCAAGCCTGTCTCACTCACACTTTTGTCTTTTCTGTAGTAAACATCGAAGCACAGGAAGTGTGGTTGGAAAGCAGTATCCAGTATGATCCCAATAACTTACCTCCTTCACTTTGTGATCAAAGGATCAATTCAACCTCTACTGGATCTTGCTGTATCACTTCAAAAACTCCAGCTCCGATGATTATCTGCGCTCCTACCCCTCATCTTCTCATCCCAGTACCATTTAAGGAACCACAGCCTCTGATAACCATCTACTCTGGAACCTGCCATCCTGGTTTAATGCTATTCACTTGTAACCACTAAAAGTCTAGTGTCGTCTTCACTTCTGGTAACACATCAGTCCATTCTACTCATTCACTCTGTCCTAATCGTTTCAGTTACCCTCCTACTAGTGTTCTATACTACTCCCAATACACAAAATCCCCTTTCAAAATCCTAAAGTATTATTCAAAAGGGACATTTTATCAAACAGCTTCCTTGATCCATCTACTAAGACTATTTTTCAACATCAGTTCTACCGTCTTTTCCAGCTGTCTTCCATTATCCCAGGTACTATGAGAAATTGCTGTTGTAGATTTCTCATAAATAAGATAGGCTAAATCTGTGCAGATTTCTACACACACCACACACCCCCCCTCCCCCCCCACCATCTGCGGTTATTT